AAGATGATCAGAGGGATGGAGCACCTCTGCTACGAGGACAGGCTGAGAGAGCTGGGGTTGTTCAGCCTGGAGAAGAGAAGTCTCTGGGGAGATCTTAGAGCAGCCTTCCAATATCTGAAGGGAGCTACAGGAGAGCTGGGGATGGACTCTTTGTCAGGGAGTGGAGTGACAGGACAAGGGGGAATGGTTTTAAATTGGAAGAGGGGAGATTTAGATTAGATATTAGGAAGAAATTCTTTACTGTGAGGGTGGTGAGGCACTGGCCCAGGTTGCCCAGAGAAGCTGTGGCTGCCCCATCCCTGGAGGGGTTCAAGGCCAGGCTGGATGGGGCTTGGAGCAACCTGGTCTGGTGGGAGGTGTCCCTGCCCAGGGCAGGGGGGTTGGAACTCAATGATCTCTAAGGTCCCTTCCAACTCTGACCATTCTATGATTCTGTGACCTAAGGATTTTACTCCTTCAATCTCTGCTTTCCTCCCAAATTACTTTCCTACCCAACACTGCTACACCGCACAGACTCATACACTGCTTGTGTGTGTCACAGCTTAATCTGAACCTCAAAGCTCTCGGTTTGAGCAGTAGCAGTCCCCTCCTGCCGCGTATCTGCTACAGCATCACTTGAGTCTCTACAGGGCTCAGAGGGAAAGCCACAGCCCTGCATGATGGGGACAATTCCATCCCTTCCAACACACCTTCAGGCTCTTCTGCTGGAAAAGCCTATGTTGTTAGCAATGTGCACGCAGTGTGTTTTGGCCTTGCTCTTGTGTGCTGCAATATCTAAAGACGGGGAAACTCCATTCTCCTCTTTTTCACCTTAATTCTGAAACTCTGACCCCATCACGCAACAGGCAAGTCCAAAACCTTGGCAGTAAGTTTGCATTTGATGTCCCACACACCCTTAATTCAGCTGGTTTATGCATAGGTAGATAAATACAGTATAGGTTTCTGGAGAGGATGGATTGCTGGGCTGAGACCAATGGGATGAGGTTCAACAAGGCCAAGTGCTGGGGCCTGCCCTTGGGTCACACCAACCCCCTGCAGCTCCAGGCTGGGGGCAGAGTGGCTGGAGCTGCCTGGCAAAAAAAGGACCTGGGGGTGTTGGTGGCCTGTGGGCTGAACAGGAGCCAGCAGTGTGCCCAGGTGGCCAAGAAGGCCAACAGCATCCTGGCCTGGGTCAGGAACAGCGTGGGGAGTAGGACTCGGGACGTGATCATCCCCCCGTACTGGGCACTGGGGAGGCCCCACCTCGAGGGCTGTGTCCAGTTTTGGGCCCCTTCCAACAAAAAAGACATTGAGGGGCTGGAGTGGGTCCAGAGAAGGGCAATGGAGCTGGTGAGGGGTCTGGAGCACAAGTCTTGTGAGGAGAGGCTGAGGGAGCTGGGGGTGTTCAGCCTGGAGAAAAGGAGGCTGAGGGGAGACCTCGCTCTCTCCAACTCCCTGAAAGGAGGGTGTAGCCAGGGGGGGTCGGTCTCTTCTCCCAAGGAACAGGCGATGGGACAAGAGGAAATGGCCTCACGTTGCTCCAGGGGAGGTTTAGGTTGGACATCAGGAAAAATTTTGACACGGAAGGGGTTATGAAGCCTTGGAATGGGCTGCCCAGGGAAGGAGTTGAGGCACCATCCCTGGGGGTGTTCAAAAGACGAGTTGACATGGTGCTGGGGGACATGGTTTAGTGATTTTTTTTTGGTCAGAGTTAGGTTGCTGGTTGGACTAGATGATCTTGAAGGTCCCTTCCAACCTAGATGATTCTATGATTCTGTAATATTTCTCACTCAGTATTTCTCTAGGATGACTGCTTGGCTCAGTAAGAATGAACGTGCAAATGGCTCTTCTGGAAACAGTCAAGAAAAGCTGATTTCTAAAACTCCAAAGTAAACCCAGGAGTCATGAGCATCTCCTGTGCAAGGGAACTGCAAACCCCACCAGAAACACAGCCCACCCTCCAAGCAGAGCTTGGAGCTGCCGTCCAACACATGGTTTAAGTCAGTCCATCCCACCTCCTACTCCCAATAGCCACGGACTGGTGTTTAAGGGTAGAAGAACACGTGTGTAAGAGGCATGTAAAGACATACAGGAGGCTGTACCCTACGTGTGAGGAGGGGAGCAGGGACTCCTGCCCGAGAGACAACCCCGGCAGAGCCCCGCTGGCAGGGGGGGAAGCCAGAGGACGCTGCACCCCCACAGAAGTCCCTCTCCCTTTGGGACGGGGCAGGGACCTGCCTTCCCCGACGGGGGCCGCGTTGGTGCTGAGGAGCCGAGGACGCCCAGGATGAGCTCTGGGAGCCCAGCAGAGCCAACCTCCAGCCCCAGCCCGCAGGCTGAGAGAGGGGATCAGCCCTCCCATAGCTCTGCTTCCCCTGTGGCGCGTGTTGATTTGACCCCCCCAGCTCCATGCACGGAGAGAGGAGCTCCAGGAGACCCCCAGGAGCCCATAGCCATCTGGCCACTGGCCAGCGGAGCTCTCCCAGCAGGGACAGATGTCCCAACAGCGATGCAGTGACCAACCTGGGGCACAGAGAGCGGTTCCTTCTCACCCCTTGACCACCCTTTCCTCCCGTCACACTCCTGGGCCCTCCTGAAGGCTCCCCTTGGTGTGGCTGGTCCCAGCTCCATCAGCGCCCTGCCCAGTCACCCCAGCTGAGCAAACACTGGTGGGAGTGGGAGGCCCTGGAGCTGGAATGTGCCCGGGAGAAGACCCGCACTCCTCCACCTCTACTGGCAGCCAGCAGAAAGGACAGATTAGAGCTGAATTAAGTTACCAGCTTTAAATAAACACGCCTGGACCCTTTGAAGTTCTGCTTCCCTTGAACATGAGCTCATTTCTTGAGGCCTCTTTTCGCTCAGCCCCAGGAAGCCATGGGTCTCGATGGAGTTAACTCTTCGCAGGACCTCTCAGCCCCCCCAGGCATCTCGCCCTGAGGGCACCCACCAGTCCAGGATATGAGCAGGGCCCGGTATAACCACGGTTAGCTCTGACCTCCTGCGTCTCCCCAGGTCCCCCTGATCTAAGGGCAATTCCCAGTAAGAAAGGGAAGCTCCCAAACTCCACTGCGTGGTCCTGCAGGCTGCAGGCTGGCACACAGGGACACTTTTTGGAGCTGAAGGGGGATCCCTCTGTGGAGAAGCATCCTCCAAGCCTGCCAAGAGAAGCACTCGCAGGTCCTGGGAGGACTCTGCTCAACCCTCCTCCAAAGCAGGACTGAGGAGTAAAGGAATAAGGGAGGAATTTAATTACAGAGGAGGAAAGTTCCCAGGGCTCCCTTCTTTCGGTTTAATCCCACAAAGTGGAAAGTCTGGGGCAGGAAAGGGAGGGGGGAGCCACAGAGAGGAAAGTAAAATACCACAGAGACAAAGCTGATCCCGACTCCCTGGCGTTTTTGCATGGCTTGTGAAACCTCTGCCAACCCCTGCTCTTGCTCCAGTACTTGAAAAAGACAGCAAAGAGAGCAGAAACCTGTCCAAGAGCAAGGGCTGCCTCTGCCTGGGAGTGGGGAGACGTGACTTTTGGGGTTCACTGGTTTTGCATGTGAGTGGGAACGGCAGAGTCGTTGCTGATGGAGCCAGTGCAGAGGGAGAGCCTGTCACTGCTGCCTGACGAGGGGGCAAGCAAACACTTCTCCAAGTGGCTCCAAATTACCACAGTGTCGCCCCCATGATGGGGTGTTATTTCTGGATGCTTTGCTCACTCACAGCATCACCCCTGACACAGGGAGGCCGGGGAGGGACGGCTCAGACAAAGGTTCCTACTCCTGGGAAGGCAACTTCCACCTCGCTCCTGAAACCTCCCACCTCCAGTTCACGGCCGGGAAAGCTCCCAGCCAACACAAACGTGTCTGTAGCCACTCACACAGTACCTGAAAAGGACCTTGGAGACACTGGGCAAGAGCCTCTGACCCCAGGGCAGTGCTGGAGAGGGCAGCCACAGCTGGGAGGTCCCTGGCAGCCCTGTGGGGCACAGCAGGCAGGCGGCAAACAAACGGCCAGAGGTGAGGGAGAGGCCCGGAACATCAAGGCTGGATGCAGAAATCCAAGATAAACAGTGAGAGCCTTCCAGTTCCCAACCATTACAGAAATCATCCCCAGCCGAGGGGGGCCCACAGCCTGGCCTGCAGACAGGCCGTGCGAGGTGACCTCCGGCAACCCACCAGCCGTGCAGCACGTGGACAGCAATGGTTCACCCCAAGGGACGGCAGGAAAGGGCCCACCTGAGGGGTCAGCGGGATTCTCAAGAGGAACAGTCTCATCAGAGAAACGCTCCAGCAGAAATGCTCCAGGTCAGGTCCAGGAGAGGTTGCTCTCCTGCTTCCCATGTCATTGCCAGGTGTGTGCTGGACTTGCCAGCCAGCAAATGCCAGAGGGATATGCATGAGGAAAATGACAGCTCCCTGGTCCTAAACACAACTGCAGTGCCAGCAGGTTAGAGACACATCTGAAAATCTCCACAGCCAGTGCTCAGACCTCTGCAAGGCCCCGAGTTCCCCAGTCTCGTTCCCAACCGCCCGTCACGGCCCCAGGAACACGGCAGGTAAAACCTGACCCAGACCCGCTGTCTGCACGCTCACAGCAGAGACACAGCACAAGGGAGAGCAATGTCACTGTCACAAGTACAAACAGGCGCAGTCCTGCAACTTAGTAACTTCCATGATTCCCTTATTATACGCACAAATAGCCCAGTCCCCCTGTGAAAAAGTCCCCAGGAATGTGTGTTCCAGAGACGCCGTGAATTCCTGAAGCGGAGCAGAGCTCGGCAGGGCCATACAGCACCCCCATTCCTCCACAGCCCTCATCCTGCCCATATTTACAGACGGCTGTTTCTCAGTGCCCTGGCGCCAGGCTGTGACACTGCTAACAGGTACGACCACCCGTACCTTTGCCACGCGTGAAGCAGCAGTAGGAAAGCCAGAGAGGGCACCCAGATGCCCTTGCTGCTAGTCCTGGCCTGCTTCGCTGCTCTGAGAGCTGAGAGGAGGAGGAAGACAGCTAAGCACCAACGTGGGCCTTACCTTTTGTTCCAGGGGGCTGCAGATTATCTCCAGTCAGCGAGCACCAGCCTACGGGAAAGATGTCCCGGGAATCATATCGGCACCAGTAATCGAAGGCACCTCTCCAGCCATCAAATGTTATGAGGACCTCAGAACCTCTCACCTCCCCAATGGTGGCCGGGCAGATGAAGTGAGGGTTCTTCCTGTCCACTGCCTCCAGCTTCATACCTGTCTTGAAGAAGTTTTGGGATGGAGATGGTGGTTCCTACAAGGAGAAATTGAAAATGTGCTCAAAGAGGATACGCCAGCGTCTCCCCAGACTAGGGCTGTCTCCTCCACCAGCAAACTCACCTCCACCAGCAGCTGAAGAAGGGAGCTACTGGGCTGGATCTGAACCCCATGAGGTGTGCCCATGCTGGCCTGGCTACCCAGTCATGTGCCCAAGTCAAGAGGAATGAAGTCCACTGCTGACTGCTCTGCTACCACCCACCAAATCCAGACAGCGCCATGTTAACACCGCGCCCTGTGCCAAGGCTGTGCAGCACAGGCAGGAAATAAAGCCCCAAAGCAAAGAGCTTTGGAGCTTTAAAAAACCAGCTGGGGATTGCTCTTCCTGGTCTTTTAGAGCTGACATACACTAAAGGCACACCAGCCACCCCATGGCACAGCACAGGCTTCTCCACTGGCTCCTGTCTTCCTCTGACTTCCCAAAGGGTGTGAGAACACAGATTACGAAATCAGCCTTGCAGCGCTGCCTCACAGCAGTATTTGCATTAGGAGCCTTCAGAGAGGTGCTGACCTTCACATACTGCATTCCTGACTTGGAGCAGTGCCTGCAGCCCAACTGAAAACCCAGAACATTTCTGAAGCCCAAGCTTTTGGGCCTTTGGAGCTCAAACCACCTTCTTAGCAGACCTCTGTCTGCACCCCGACACTGCCAGGACACAGCAGCAGACGGTACAGATCTGTCCTAGAGAAGCAGCACCGTGGCAAAGCCGGGCAATGCTCATCTCTGCTGGGCTCAGCACAGCCCACAGGACACACCAGCTGTGATTTTGGTGCTCCGCAGTAAAGGGAAGGTGCCAGAAAGACATCTACACAAACAGCACATAAAATACCTTGTGAAAAATCCGGACAGGAGCCATCTCTGCTCCATTCAGAGTCTTCAGAAGGAACATGGGCCAAGAGGAGGCATTCAGCCGAAAGCCTGCAGAGAAGGAAGCAGAGATGGAGACTTTAAGGCTGTGGGGGCCACTGGATCCCTCAGCACGTGCCTGCTCTGCTGGGAACTTTGCAGCGGGTACACACTGTGATCCCACCCCACCCTCCTCCTCATGCTGCAGAGTCAGGTTTGACCTTTTCCAGATACTCTGAACACAAAACGTTATGGTGTTGAAAATAAACATCTGGAAATGGAAGTCTGGCTGCAATATTCACTTATCACAGCAGTCTGTACACTGACCATGCAGGCAGAGCACTTTGTGCTGCAGCTTCGCTGATCCTGCTACAGGGGAGATGGGAATCAGCAAGTGCCCACTCAGACTATGAAACTTCTTCCTCAACAGGGAATCTCAGCTTCTGGGTGGCCTCCTCCACCTTTTAGGAAGAGTGAGCTGCAGGCAACAAGCTAACCTGAAGAAATAAAGAGGCTGGGACTTGGCTGGGAAACAGATTTAACCATTAGAGGAAAGGATGGCAGGATTTGGTTCGACTTCTGTGAAAAAATGTAGAGAAAGAACAGGAAGGGTCTTATGGGAAGAAAAAAACAAATTCACAGGCTCTGAGCTTTCTGGGCCCTTGCCCTCTGCAGGCAGAAAGGACAACTGCAGAACTGACTTTTTGTTTCCTGTCTTCATGGTGGATGCAAGAATCACAGAATCTCAGACGGGCAGGGGTTGGCAGGGACCCCTGGAGATCATCTCCTCCAACCCCCTGCCAGAGCAGGTCCCGCAGGAACATGTCCAGGTGGGGTCTGAATGTCTCCAGAGAAGGAGACTCCACCACCTCCCTGGGCAGCCTCTTCCAGGGCTTTGCCACCCTCACAGGAAAGACGTTTTTCCTCATGTTGAGATGGAATTTCCCATGTCCCAGTTTGTGCCTGTTGCCCCTTGTGCTGTCCCCGGGCACCACTGAGAACAGTCTGGCCCCATCCTCTCAGCATCTGCCCTTTAGCTATTGCTCAGTATCGATGAGATCCCTTCTCAGGAGGAGAAGGAGAGGAGAGAGAAACCACTCTTGCCTGGCCCAGATGATACAGATCAGAGCTGGACACACAGACTTCTTCCAGACTCCAAGCCCTCTCCTCTGGCACTGTCAGAGTGAGTTGTGCTCTGAACTCCACTGCACTCATTGCCATCTGCTGGCAAAATCAGACAAGGCACAGGAGGAACCATCTCTTCCAGCGAGGAACGGGCTGCACTGGGGCTGTGAGCTGCTCCCTGGAACCAGGGTTTCAATGAGATGGCTGCTGGGGCTGTGAGCTGCTCCCTGGAACCAGGGCTTCAATGAGATGGCTGCAAATCATAGAGTTGTCCAGGCCGGAAGGGACCTCCAAAGGCCATCTAGTCCGACCCCCCCGCAGTCAGCAGGGACACCCCCAACTAGACCAGGTTGCCCAGGGCCTCGTCGAGCCTCTCCTTGAATATCTCCAGGGATGGGGCCTCAACCACCTCCCTGGGCAACCTGTTCCAGTGCTCCACCACCCTCACAGTGAAGAACCCTCTCCTCATCTCCAGTCTAAATCTGTTCCCCTCCAGCTTAAAGCCATTACCCCTCATCCTGTCACTGCAGGCCTTTCTAAACAGGCTCTCCCCAGCCTTCCTGTAGCCCCCTTCAGGTACTGGAAGGCTGCTATTAGGTCTCCCCGGAGCCTCCTCTTCTCCAGGCTGAACAACCCCAGCTCCCTCAGCCTGTCCTTGTAGCAGAGGTGCTCCATCCCCCTGATCATCCTTGTGGCCCTCCTCTGGACCCTCTCCATCAGGTCCATGTCCTTCTTATATTGAGGGCTCCAGACCTGCACACAATACTCCAGGTGAGGTCTCACCAGAGCAGAGTAAAGTGGTAGAATCACCTCTCTGGACCTGCTGGTTGACATGGACAGCACATGTGTGGAAGTAACATAAAACATGGGAGCTTTAATGCTAATAGCTGCAGCAGGTTTTGTCTGTAGCAGTTATGAAGGGAAAGGGTATAACTAGACTCGCATGCACACATTCGTGCGGTGAGATGTGCCAGAACATGCACCTGCTGAGGTTTCTTCCTTCAAAAAGGTCAGGTCCAAGTGTCCCATTGCAATTGAGAGTGTACTGGGGGATCCAGACCCACAAACGCTGCTCCAGGAAAAAGAATGAGCAAAAATATTCCTAACTCAAGGTATCTAAGTGAAGATTTCTTGCATCACTATAGATCTGCTTGATATTATTCGGGGATGTGCTAATTGAGTGAGAGATTTATGAAGACACTTCACAAATAAATAAGTACTGGGCAGCAGAAATGCAAAAGCAGGTTCATCTTGCTGCTTAATGGGGAAAGAACCAGTAAATCAGCTCATCATGTGGCCAGTGTCAAAAAAAAATAGTATGTGTGTTTAAGTTCCAGACAAGACTGGAAGAAGTGTTCAACTGCCCTGGTTATTTATAAAGTTGTAGCCAGGCATAGTTAAATAAATAAACAGATGAAATATTGCAAGCATCCCTTCACGTGAGACGGGACCTAAATCACAGGGAACCTTTTCAGACATCCTGTTCCCCATCGGCCTGTCTCTGACCAGGCTGCTATTGCCCCAAAGGCACCTGGGCACAAATACACCGAGACAGCAGGAATGAAGATGTGAAGGCTTTTGAAATCACTGTGTCAGGATTAGCAGCGATACAGCAGATGTTCTCTTGATTATTCTCTACACCAAGATTTACAGATGCCCAGCAAAGCCCCTCACCCAGACACCAGCTCAGCTTGGCTCCAAGGAGGAGCACAGGGGAACGGGCTGTGGATGGTGGCTGTTTCTCACCAAGCCCACCTTTGAGAGCGCAGCGCTCACAGAGGATCAGGAGCCCAAAGTGAAGGGCAGTGGCCAGAGCTGTAGCCGTGGCCAGAGCCATGGGCCAACACTGCCCGTGTGACCGTGTGCTGTCTCCCACGAAATAAAGAGCCTGGATTCATTCTCTCCTTGTACAGGCAACAAACACCCCAGGAAAGGCCATCTCAGTCACTCTGCCTCCAACGCTACCTGGGTCCCCAGGACTTCGGGGTGCCCCTCGACTGCTTGTGTGTCCTCTGGGAAACGAAGCAGCTCTAGAATTCTTTCACACAAATAGGTGGAAAATGTGTTTTTCTTCTGAGGTATAGAGGGAGAACTTCAGAAGGCATAAGAGCATGATTAGGACATGCTGATCCACAGCTTGAGCTGGAAGGAGTGCAAGCAGCTCACCCAGGTGCAAAGAGCTCTTTCTTCTACACTCTAGAACATCTCCCTGTTCAGGCCATGATGTCCATGTGGACATACAGACCTGGGGTGGGATCCATCTGTTTAACAGCCCAGGCTGACAGGACTGTGCTACAACCACAGGGGCAGGCCATGGGTCTCTGTCCCAAGCACAGAAATACAAAAACCCCTGGGGTTTCCCCCCAGATAACGTAGGTGGTTGCTGGACAGTTGAAGTTCAGCTCACCCAGTGGAGGCTGCAGCATCCCTCCGTTCTTCTCACAGTTTCCTATGGGCTGGATTTCAGCAGAGTCCACCAGCCGCCAGAAATCGTTCTTGTTATCGCTGCCGTCGAGGCGCAGGCGGAGGCGGGCGCCCGTCAGACCCACCACCGTGGCAATGCAAGTGGAGGTGGTGTTCCTGGGGTCCTGGGCTTCTAGTTTCATACTGATCTTGAACTCGTTTGCAGGTGGAGTGTACGACTGCAAAGAAAAGAACAGGGACCCAGTCAGAGACAGGATTTCCAACACACGCACCACCTCAGTCACAAAACTTAAGCCCCAACAGCATCAAAACTGATTCTACCGAAGCCTAAGAGCGTTCTCCAAGCCCAGCGTGGGGCAGACATCGTGGAGCAGCAAAGAAAGCTCATCAAGCCCTGGCAGATCTGTGACGCAGACCGCTGTCTATCCCTGCTGCAGCATCTGGACAACTAGATCTACCCCCTTCTCTCAGCCTCTTCTCTGGAGAATCACCCACCGACCCAGCACCCAAAGCGAAGCTCCCCTGCGCTGCTGCCGCTCTGTCCGGGGCAGGGTACGGTGCCACCTCAGTGCTGGGTCCCCTCTACTCAGCACTGTCACCTCTGGGCTCAGGCACCCAGTGCCTGGGGGGTGCTGCTCAATTCACAAAGATTGGGTGAATTCTTATGAAAATCTCCTTGCTGGGCCACCCAGGAGCCACCCAAACCTGGGTCGCAGCCTACGTGCAACATTTTGTCCAAGACACTGCGCTTGGCAGAGAGAAAAAGCATTTTTGTGTTCCCATCCACGAACACCTGAGAGTTAACTCTTCTGCACTACTCTAACATTTGGAGTGCTTGAACATATCTTTTTTATCTTTGCTTCAGAAAACTTAAGATTTCTATTAAGTTTCCAATATCCTTAAGCAACTTCCTTGCCAAAAAAGGGGCCTACTCCAGGCACAGAGCTCCTGGGTCCCCAGGGAACCATCGCCCTTGGCCTTTCCTGTTTCCATTCACCCTCTTACCTGCTTGAAGCAATGGGCAGGAGCTGGGATGGCACATGTCTCCTTCAGGTATTTCTCCCAGGTGAAGTGACCTGAAGAGAAAAAAGAAAAGGATTCAAATAGGAACTGACGAGCAAAAATCTCAGAAAAAGAGATGGCTGGACTGCTAACGCCGGCAGTTCTCCACTCCTCACAGAGGAGGTGCTCACAGGCAACATGTTTTCATCAAGATCCTCTCATGATTGTGGCCACAGAAGATTTACAGCTGCGGCTGGGAGGCAGAACAAAGCGTGGTGCTGCCCAGGGCTTCCCGCTGCCGAGGAGGCTCTGCAAGAAGTGAGGATAACAACCTCCAACTTCAGAGAAAACAACGGCGCAGAGGGGAATCCGTGGAGTCTTCCAGACAACTGCCCCTTAAAAAACATTCGTTAAACACATTGCTCAGGCTGGGGATTAAAAACAAGTCACTGGGGGCTAAAAGCAGCCCGAGACAACAGGAAACTTTGCACTGAGCTGACTACAAACCCCCGTCCAGCCCCGCATGCTGCCTGCCCCACCAGCTGGCGGGTCCGGGCAGGTCCCCCGCAATTAGTGGACAGGTCAGCAATTAATTTCCCGAAGCAGACATGGAGTCCCCAGCTCGGGCAGGGTTGAAGCAGGGACTCTCCAAAGTGGGGTTTACTGAGTGGAGACTCACACCTGACACCAAAGTCCCTCGGCTGCTGCGGGCGCTGGAGGAAGCACGGTGTCTCCCTGCCTGCACCTTCCATGGACAGCAGGGAGGGCAGAAGCAACGTGACACCCAGGGAAACCCGGTATTAAATGAGGAATCAAAAGCTCTCGTTATCTGAGCAAATCGTGACTTCTGCCATTTAAACTGAGCAGCTGGGAAAGGGTCCTTCCAGAGTGACATTAGCTCCTGTTCATCTGAATGGCTCCCGGGAGACCGCTGTGCTCCAGCCATTTCAAGAGCATTGGTGGCAGCACAATTAGAGAGTCAGCCACTGCTTCCCCTATTCACGGCAAGTTTTTAATCAGTCTATTTTCAAAACAAAAGCCACATTAAGAGCCATTTTAGCTACTGCAGCGTGAACCACACCTCTAAAAATTCAGGCATTCAGGTCAGCACACATTACTTTTGTTCTGCCTCTCGTGCACGGAGAAGGCTGAAGGGCTCAACAATTTACTAGCTGCAAATAAATCAAAGAAATGCTGCTTTCTTGCCATCTCCCATGCAGGTGACTAGTGCGCTGCTAATTACAGTGGGAATGAACAGAAAAAAATAGTTTTGCTGCCACAGTGGCTGAACACATTTCTGTTTACAGACTGACAGCAGCTCTTTGCTCCTCAGAGATGCGTTTCCATCTATTGCAGGCGTTTTCCTTCCAGCCAACAGCACCTCACCGGGGTGAATGGAGAAACGCAGCCACCGACGGCAACGATGCTCTCGCAAAACCAAAATCCTTTTGCATTAATTGAAGATGCAATTTTACACTTGGTTATGTCAATAAAACTCTTTGCATGAATAATCTGCACTGAATACCTGGCCAAAGCAAACCCAAGCGCTCCCAGCATGGAGATGCCTTGCTGCATCCCACCCCTTCGCTCCGGCGGCTGATCTGGGCTCTTCCCACATGGGGTGGCCCTTCAGAGGCCCTTGTCCCTGGCACAGGGTCCATGGGTGCCCGTGACGACAGCCCCGGGGCTGAGGTTTGTGTTCCCTGCCCCAGGGCTCAGCAAGGGTTCCAGAAAGGCTCAGCTGCACATAACAGCTTTATTTCAAAAAAGAAACCTCCTCTCCCCTCAGCTGGTTTCAATCCCTCGCTATTAAAAGTAGTCATGGTTTTATTCCTTCCACTTTTCCCTTGCTCCAAGGTGAGCGAGGCCATTCCCTCCCCGCAGCAGCTCACACCACGCTCGGGATGGATGCCGTGCGGTCCCAGCAGGAGCAGGACGTTTCTGAGCCAGCTGGACGCCTCTAAAAATAGAGTTTGGACATGGAACTTATTTGAGATTAATTCTAGAGCCTGCTGGGACCCAAGTACCAGATGAACACACACCCCTCCCACCAGCAGCTACTCACAGCTCAGGTTCTGGTGACTTTATTTTGAAAAGAAAAGCAGAAGCAGCAGAAAGACTTCTCTAAACTCCAAGAAAAGAGAAAATTAAGCCTTCAGTGGCTGGAGCTGCCCAGCAGAAAAGGACCTGGGGGTGTTGGTCACCTGAACAGGAGCCAGCAGTGTGCCCAGGTGGCCAAGAAGGCCAACAGCATCCTGGCCTGGGTCAGGAACAGCGTGGGGAGTAGGACTCAGGAGGTGACAGTTCCCCTGTACTGGGCACTGGGGAGGCCCCACCTCGAGGGCTGGGTCCAGTTTTGGGCCCCTTCCAACAAAAAAGACATTGAGGTGCTGGAGCGGGTCCAGAGAAGGGCAATGGAGCTGGGGAGGGGTCTGGAGCACAAGTCTGGTGAGGAGAGGCTGAGGGAGCTGGGGGTGTTCAGCCTGGAGAAAGGGAGGCTGAGGGGAGACCTTCTCGCTCTCTCCAACTCCCTGAAAGGAGGGTGTAGCCAGGGGGGGTCGGTCTCTTTTCTCAAGTCACAGGCGATGGGACAAGAGGAAATGGCCTCAAGCTGCACCAGGGGAGGTTTAGGTTGGATATTAGGAAAAATTTTGATACAGAAAGGGTTCTTAAGCCTTGGAATGGGCTGCCCAGGAAAGTGGTTGAGGCACCATCCCTGGAGGTGTTCAAAAGACGAGTTGACATGGGGCTGGGGGACATGGTTTAGTGATATTTTTTTTTGGTCAGAGTTAGGTTGCTGGTTGGACTAGATGATCTTGAAGGTCCCTTCCAACCTAGATGATTCTATGATGCCTCCTTCTCTGTTCACTATGGGTCATTTCTTTCCATAAAGACGGCATGACAAGGACAATTAAGGACTGCACAGCTTTTTCAGGATTGTCCTCAAACCAGGACAGAAACCATATTCTGAAATTGGAGGCTGCCACCGCTGCCTCAGCGCAAGAATGTGGGGAATGGTTTGGAATGAATTCATTCACAGTACTTAGCTCATAATACAACACTTTTCAAGCAGGATTCAAAGTACATTTAAATGTAACCAAATATGACCAGCTTCTACACAAAAACTGCAGGAAGAATCAGAAGAAAATGGCGAAACACAGAAGTTTTTTTTTTTACAGTAAAGGGAGAGCTGGCAATAAAATACAAAAAAAGCAAGAGGCACTTAAGGCCTTAAAATTTAAAAAGTAGATTAAAAAAAAAATTAAAAATTAATCAAGGAGTAGAGAACAAGGACCGAGCTCTAGTCCTTGAGAATGAGTGCGTGTGGTTGAGGATGGACACATCACACTCTCAGCCTCTGCTCCTCCAAACCCTCCTCCCGCACAGATCCCGCTCCAGCCCCATTGCCCAGCCCCACACCAGGGCACTGGCACCGGGACACCCAACCTCCGGGTGCTGCCTGATGCCATTCTACAGGCACAGGGAAACACTGAGAACATCTTGCTTCATTTTCTCGTACAGCACAGACCCACTATCTCCTATTTTATATTCTCTCAATATTCTTATTCCTATTAATAAATTGGATGCCTTACTGTAGAGGGACAGGATGCTCGTTTCTTATCTGGCCTGGGCAGGGAACACTGGGGAATTTTTTCTGAGTGTTGGTCAAAAAAACCCTGGTGGCTTTTCTCCAGTTCCCAGTGAATCACTTTGCTTCATGAAAAACCAGAACTTCAGCCAGTCCTAAAGTGTCCTTTCTACTGGTGATGGAGCAGGATCGTCCAGAGCTGACTGTAGGGACTGAAATCCTTTCTCACCCCGAAAAGCACAGGGGGACACTCCCTCTGCTGCTGCCCCAGCTTCCAGCACAACACGCAAAATGTCCCACAGCCTGAAATCACCCTCTGGTTTGTCTGGTCTCTGCCTTCTCTTTGATCCCCCCTCAATCCTCCCCCAGACTGGAAGGATCACCGTTTGAATGGACCGTGTTCCTCTGTATCACGTACATCAGATCTTCTTTACAGGAAGAAATGAGAGAAGGACCCTTAATGAGAAACACCACATTTGTATAATTACATCTGTAAGCTAAACAACAGCCAAGGACTGTAAATCTATATGACTCCCTGTAACTTGGCTGTGAAAACGCCCACTAAGGGCAACCGTCTCTCGCTTCTGCTCGCCTTCGGAAAGCTCTGAGGGCACCCGAGCCAAAGGGGGATATTACTCGCAGGCAGAGTGTCAAATCTGGGCTCTGATGTCTTAACCTTCAAAAATATTTACTACAAACAAAACACTCCACACACCCAAGGGGTCAAACTACAGTAGCTGTGAACAATGCAGCTCCGCACCCTGGTGCTTGGATTCGCATCATGCTGCATTTAGTGTTGATCTTTTGCCCAGAATTTAAATGAAGATGGAGTTTCTGTTTATATCTTTAACCAAAGTCTGGTTTGGGCTCCATTAGCATTTCAGCTCCCAAGGGGTCATCAATCCAACAGCAATGATACATGTGCGTTTCAGGTCACATCTGTGAAGGAGAACGTGCCCTACCCAGATCAAGGCATCCCATTAAAGTCTGCAGCCCATATGTGTGTCTGCTAACGAGCATCAAGGCAGCACATGAAAGCAGCACGGTCTGAGCCAACTCGCTATGAAAATGAGCAGATCCAAAGGCGACGGTGGCTTCCCTGACATCTGGGCACAGCCTCCGTAGGGGTCAGCTCTCCCAGCGCGATGGCAGTGCTCCTGCACCTCCTGCCCACTGATTTCCAGGCACATTCTCAGCCATGGATCCAGCTGCACCTTCTCCACTGGTAACGGCTACACCTGGTAATGGGATCCCGCTTACCCACTATCTCGCTCCGAAGAAACGCAAGATGTGTGAGCCAAAACAAATAGGTTTCAAACACCACACCGTTCCCAGTGACAGGACAAGGGGCAATGGGCACAAACTGGACCATGGGAAGTTCCATTCAAATATGGGGAAGAACTTCTTTGGGGTGAGGGTGCCAGAGCCCTGGAAGAGGCTGCCCAGGGAGGGTGTGGAGTCTCCTTCTCTGGAGATCTTCAAGCCCCACCTGGATGCTCCTGAGTGATGTGCTCTGGGCAACCCTGCTTTGGCAGGGAGTTGGACTGGATGATCTCTAGAGGCCCCTTCCAGCTCTGACAATTCTGTGATTCTCCGAGGTGTCCCAGCTTGGTACCAGCTCTGAGCAGAATCCTCTCAGCCTGGACTGTGCCAAAAGCTGTCACATTTCCACACCCCTCGCTGCACACCTGAACTCCGGGCAGTGAGGAGCCACCCAGTTTCCTGCAGGGAGGCAATCCCCAAACCCCTGCTGCTCGCTGAGCAGCCACGTACCCATCAACATGTCCAGCGTTCCTCCCCTGGCCCAACCAGCCCCAGGACGCAGCGAAGCGAGAGGCTGGGTGTGGGGTTACCATGAGCGCTGATGGGAAAACTGGGCTCTGAACTTCACAGAAAGCTTCCTCTCAGGTCAGCGTTGCCACCAAACAACAGCCAGTCCCGCTGACATCTGCAACGGTGCAGAGCGTGCAGCAGAGGGGAAGCTGCCATGGAGCCCCCAACGTCCTGAAGGCAGACCACACACGGGCCATGGGAGTTGTGACGCTGCCCTGTAATGTCACATGGAGCTCACCACGGGGTGACAGAGGACCCAGCACTTTATTGGAGGCCCTAATAAACTTCCTCCCCTTGGAGAAGGTCCTTCCCACTGTCTGTCCAACAAGGACAGATGAGATACCCCAAGAGAGAACAGTGAAGGCTGATGGTGGCCCCCAGTCACAGAATTCACAGACTGGCTGGGTTTGGCAGGGATCTCTGGAGATCACCCAGTCCAACCTCCTGCTGGAGGGAGGCCACCCAGAGGGCCTCCCACAGGGCCATCCAGAGCAGGTCCCACAGGAACGTGTCCAGGCAGGATTTGAATGTCTCCAGAGATTGAAACTCCACCCCCTCTCTGGGTAGCCTCTCCCAGGGCTCTGCCACCCTCACAGGAAAGAAGTTCCTCCTCATGTTGAGACGGAACCTCTTATGCTCCAATTTGTGCCCGTTACCTCTTGTCCTGTCCCTGGGCACCACTGAAAAAAGACCAGCCCCATCCTCCTGACACCCGTCCTTTAAGTATTTATAAGCATGGCTGAGATCCCCCCTCAGCCTTCTCTCTCCAGACTCAAAAGCCCCAAGTCCCTCAGCCTTTCTTCGTAAGAGAGATGTTCTAGTCCCCTCATCATCTTCGTAGCCTTCTGCTGTACAGTTCCCTGTCCTTCTTGAACTGGGGGGCCCAGAACTGGACTCAGAGCTCCAGATGTGGCCTCACAAGGACAGAGCAGCAGCAGAGGATGACCTCCCTCCACCTACTGGCCACGCTCTTCTTGATGCACCCCAGTGTGCCCAAGAACCACCACCCTGAGTCTCACCTCAGGGCCTGGGATAACCAAGCCCCTGCAGCACAGCAGCCACCTCAGCTCTCCCAGTTCTGAGACACTCGGGGGAGCCTTTCACGAGGGCAAACGTGTTTCCTGTTAGAAATGGCCTAACTCAGGCAATCGTTTAGCTTCTTGTCACTCTGTATTTGGTGGGAAGTATGGACAGCACCTTAATGTAGGGACATGGGGAATATAAGGACATAAGGACATCATTATACTCTATGAGTAAAATATGGGGCCTAAAACCTTTTACTAAACTATACAAGCTTTACATAAACTTCCTGAAGTCGGAAATCACCTGCATGTGCCCCCTGAGAGACAGCAGGAGCCACCAGCTTTATGAACTCAACCTGCAGGCTCTGCACAAAGGCCACGGCCGTTCCTGCCCAAGCTCAGGACACATCTCCAAAGGCAGTGAGAAGGGACCGACCCCTGTGCTGCTGTCACAAGCCCCACTGGAGACAAAGCACACAAGGACCACCCGAAAAAGCAGATTTTATCTGTAAACTAATTTGCCATGCTGCAGTATCCCACACCCAAGCAACATAAAAAGCTTTTAGGGGAAAAAAAAAAATGAGAAGGGAGAAGGAGGGAGATGGAAGGGAGAAGGGAGAAGAAGGGAGAGGGAGCTCTCTTACCTTGGTACTCGGAGGGAGACTCTGACGGGCGGCCATACTTGTGCTTTTTACCATCTTTCCAGTCTATGGCTAAGACAAGAAATAAAGCATTTGTGTCAGTGAAGGAAGCCAACCAATACGCTCTTCAACATTATCTGCTCATGTCACCTGCTTTACAGGCACCTCAGAGGAGAGGAGTGACCTCCCTGTCCTCACCCCAGGTAACATGGATGATAGAAGTCCACAAGGCATGCACTTTCCTCCACACAGCTCCAGAGATGACCCGACACAAGGTATCTGCACCTGCATCAGTCTGCCTAGTGCTCACCAGCTCGTGTTCTCCCACAACGGCAAGAAATAACATAAAAAGCAGCAAACTGCTACAGCTTCATCATTTTAACTGCATGAGGAGGTGGCAAGGCTTGAGAAACAAATGCAAAAGCCACGAAAAATGGCACACATGGATCTTGTACACCGAGAAGTGGAGCCTGAATTGCTCCTTATTTATCAACTCCAGGTTATTGCAGCTGCCCTAACCCACACAAACAGCCTTGACCCTCTGTGGAGATGGCGAGGGCTTCTCCCAAAGTCTGCACAACTGCACTCTCCATGCACAGCACTGAGTTACCACCGCGTGTCCTGCACAGCTCGTGGAAGAGCACCACAAGGTAGCACCAGCTCTGAAGAACATCTCAGCTAAGCTGTCTTGCTCATGAGAGTTTTAGACCTCAAAGTTGCACAGAAATAAAGTTCCCAAGACAGCTCTGGAAAGTGATTGAGCAAGAAGCAGGGATGCTGATGACACCAAGCTGTGTGGCGCAGTCAACATGGTGGAGGGAAGGGATGCCATCCAGAGCGACCTGGACAGGCTGGAGAGGTGGGCCCGTGTGAACCTCATGAAGTTCAACGAGGCCAAGTGCAAGGTCGTGCACCTTGATCAGAGTAATCCCAAACCCAAATCCAGGCTGGGTGGAGAGAGAGAGGAGAGCAGCCCTGAGGAGAAGGACTTGGGGGTGTTGGTGGGTGAGAAGCTCCACACGCCCCAGCAACGTGCACTGGCAGCCCAGAAACAACCTGCATCCTGGGCTGCATCCCCAGCAGTGTGGCCAGCAGGACAAGGAGGGGATTCTGTCCCTCTGCTCCACTCTGGGGAGACATCATCTGGGAGTGGGGCTCCTGTGTTCAGCTACAGAGTCCTCAGCACAGAGGAAGGACACAGACCTGTTGGAGTGGGGCCAGAGGAGGCCACGGAGATGCTGGGAGGGCTGGAGCCCCTCTGCTGAGAGGACAGGCTGAGAGAGCTGGGGGGGTTAAGCCTGGAGAAGAGAAGGATCTGGGGAGACCTTAGAGCCCCTTCCAGTCCCTCAAGGGGCTCCAGGAAAGCTGGGGGGGGAATCGTGATCAGGGAGGGGAGCCATGGGATGAGGGGGAAGGGTTTGACACTGAAAGAGGGGAGATGGAGCTGAGATGTGGGGAAGAACTTCTTTGCTGTGAGGGTGGTGAGAGCCTGGCCCAGGTTGCCCAGAGAAGCTGTGGCTGCCCCATCCCTGGAGGGGTTCAAGGCCAGGTTGGAGGGGGCTTGGAGCAACCTGGGCTGGTGGGAGGTGTCCCTGCCCAGGGCAGGGGGTGGGAACTGGTGGGAACTGGATGATATTCCAGCCCAGACCATTCTGTGAACCTCTGATTCTATGCCCATTGCTGCCCCCAGCCAAGGCAGTGATGCTGGAGCAGGTACCACAGCAGAGCCTGCCCTGGGTGAGCTCCTTCACCCGCTGCTGCCTGAGCGGGGCACCCCTGGGACTGCTGCTGCGCTCCAGCTCATTGATTTTACAAAGCATTTTTAGAGCTATTATAAACCATGTGGTAGTTCTCTACGAAATGCACCTTGCCCCCAGGAAAAACAGTTCCTTATGAAAAGAACAAAAAAGAAAACAGGGAAAATTTTGAAATCTCCTGACAAGCAGCTGAAAGAGCTGCTGCTGGAGTGAACTGGTGGGTCCTAAGGTGTCTGAAAATGCTTTTGGACTGTTATTTTTGCAATCTTCTCTTCCTGACATGTTCTCTTCAATACCTCCTCAGACAGGAGGACTGCATGAAGGCTTTATCCCTTAAATGAACCCAAGATACATTTGGAGTGTGGCCACAGCATTGCTAGACAAGGACCAGACAGAGTCTCCTTGGAGAAACACCAATGAATGAAAAAGCTGGAAGGGCACCCTTCCTATAAATGTATTCCCATGAAGGATAGTATTTCTCCTTAAGAAAGTAAGAGTGAAGGACACAAAGTATTTAATTCAGAAGCAAAAAAGTCCTCAGTATGGGTAACACTGCTCAGGACAGCTCTCTAATAGCAGGTGAAGTTACATTTTACTGTTAACCTTCGACATGCAAAACCCCTCATTAAACAGGCTGGAAAAGCAGCAGAGAGGGAAAGAAAGACAAGAATTTCTGCAGGCAAATAAAGAAAAAGGAAAAGTCCGATGCATTATTAAAAAGCAGGTAAGTAGGACAGAAACCCACGTGCACAGGAGGCAGGTGTTGGTTCTGCAGCCTGTGGCACAGCGTTTGCAGCAAAGGTCCTGCAGCCACACTCCACCAGGCAGGAGGACAAGCCCTAAGAGGCTAAATCCCGGCAGCCCGGTCCGCGGCCGCGCTGCTGACTAATCAACCTGCCTCCTTACTGCCAGGCCCTCCAGCTGCCTCACAGCAGGCTCTCCCCATTCCCTGCTTCCCTTCATTTATTTTCACTTCATTAAAGGACAAGCAGTGTTAGGAAGAGGATAATGCTTCTGTGAGACGAACCACCAGAGAAGCAAAGGGGACGTTTAAAAAAAATAAAGGGAGGAGAGAAATTGAGCATAGAAATCTCCTGCAATAAACCTTGTGAGCGTGTAGCAGATGTGAACAAAAAGCTGTGGAGGATGCTCCATCCTCTCCGCTTCTCCCTTCCCCCATGCTCCCGAGCGCGTGTGATGAGATCACTCCAGTCCGAGCCACACGCACGGCACTGCACTGAAGGCAATCAATATTTGTGTTAAGCACAAGAAGTCCGAGCAGCTCAGCTGCAGGCAGCCTGCCCGGCTCGGGGCACGGGGAACGTGCGTGCGGTGGCCTCGGGCAGCGGCTGCTGCTGGGGGCACTGGGAGGAGAGACTCCGGCAGCAAGAGCTAAGTGTCCGTAACAGAACCCATCTCCACAATGTGGGCTGCTCTCTGGTTTCATGCCTCATTAGAAGGGAATGGTGCCAGTGGAGCAGCAGTTTGGCTCACGCTGGGAGCAGCAGCAGATGGTGAGTGCCGTGAGCTCCCTCCATCCCTGACACCCTGCCCCAAAACTGTGGGAACGCAGGGAGCCCCCAGCCAGGGACTCCCCCTCAGCTCATCCCGGGGAAGCACTGATGAAGCCTTCTCTGCACGCTGCCAGAGGAGCCAACGGCTCCATCGCTGTGTGTCCCTGACTCCCACCCCATCTCCACCTCCCGGGGCCCTCCGTCCTTCCATCCGCCCCCGCCATGACCGGGCCTCGGGCCGTGCCAGCATCACTGCTCACCTTTCTGAGGGCCTGGTTTCCGCATTATATCACCCGCTGCTGTCCTTATCCTGGGACCGGCTCGCTCTTAGGTAACGGAAGATGTCTAGGACAAAAGAAACAAACATGAGAAAATTCCCTCATTCTGGAGCACACAGTCATCTGCAGCATTAACTAATCACACAGCAGGGAGAAACCAGACGCTCCTTCGCCCTGGGTTGCACAAGAACATCTCCTACTGAACACAGATAATTCATTTCAGCCCCTCTGAAACTACAAGTCTTTCTCCGACACGTGGACAACTTCAAATTTATGGAAGCAGGAGTGGCATAAATAAGTGAGAGGAGCATATGCCACTCTCCAGGCTGACTCTCCAGTGTGTCCCGAGTGGGTGCGTGGCAGGGGGGGCTGCTCTTCCTCACTAACAAAGGGAGGCAGAGCTGAAATTTATGAAAGAAAACACATGGAAACATAACATTAACTCTGGCAAAGCAGCACCACAATCCCCAGCTCGCCACTTGCGATTCAAATTGCTCACAGCAGTTCTGGGTAATAAGGATGAGAAATTGGACAATGACCCAGGAAATATTTTTGCTATTAGTACCGCAACCAATGGCCAAGCTCTCGCCACTTGCGATTCAAATTGCTCACAGCAGTTCTGGGTAATAAGGATGAGAAATTGGACAATGACCCAGGAAATATTTTTGCTATTAGTACCGCAACCAATGGCCAAGCTGCGCTGCAGGGTTTGCTTTTTTTTTTTTTTCCTGGTTGGAGGAAAACTGGCTGGACTTTCCCCAAAAAGAAAAAGCGTTTTCATTCTTGTTATAAGCAAACGTTACTGAAAACCAGAGCTCTCGGGAGCCGGACGCGGAGCTTGCAGGGCAGTGCCTGCTGTGGGCACCCAGCCTGGCCAAGGCCTGATGAAAACACTGAAATGAAGGGCTGAGCTGCAGACAAACCCTCAGGAAAGCTGGTAAAAGCATGTTGTGACACTGCACTAACTAATGAAAGATTAATTGTGCCAATATAACTCCATTTTGTTCACAGTGGGGCCGTCAGGCTGAAGGACGTAAGAGGAAGCTGTCCCAGGACGCAACGCTGAGTTTCTGCTTAAAGGGTTATTTACGGCTCCAACTTGGCAAGAAGTTCTGATTTTGAAAATCAGGCTTTTTCCAAACCTAAAAGAAACCAAGAGTTTAACTTTCTATAAAAGCTCTACAAACTACAGCCTTTATGTGGAGCGCGTGCAGCATTGCGCAATACTCTGAGAAGGAAAATACGAAAGGAATATTAAATACTAAAGGAAAAAAAAAACCCCTAGTTGTTTTTTAATCCAAATCAAAAGGTACACAGTAGTCTCTTATTGCCTCTCTCATAAATAGCATGTGTGTTTGTGCATACTTGTGAAAGGAGTAAAGTTTCTTTTCCTTTCAATAGCGAAAAGCAATCAACATGCACAAACTTATTTACAACTTGTAATGCTTCTTTTCATAATTTTCTTCAGTCATTTTTATTAAAAGCTAGCAGTCACGGTAGGAAAAGTCCCCCAGCCATAAAAAGCAAGGTGAAAAGTGTTACAGAAAGGCAGGAAACGTTCCCCAGCCCTGGCTCTGCTGCCTGCTCGGCTCCCCCCGAACAGGGGGCTTTCTGAAGGTCCCAAAGGCTAATCCCAAACCTCAGGTGTTTGGAGGGGGCTCCTGTGCCACCCGGGTGGTTTTGGAAAAGCTGCTACAGCCCAAGCCCTGCCCGGCCGGGATGTGTGACCCTCCCTGCTGAGGTATTTGGAGGAAAAATTCGTGGCTGTGTAGGAGATGCTCAGGTTCAACACGTGGCGTGTGGCTCGGGGGGAGAAGGTGACACTGCACAGATGGCCAGGGCAGTGACCCCAACACACAGAGGGGTGTCCCCCAGCCAGCACTGCAGGGACTCGAGTCGTGGAACAGAATGAGCCATTGTAAATGCTGCTCCTATTAAACAAGAACAGCAAAGAAAGGTGTCTCTTGCCCAGAGAAGGCTCGGGCTGCCCAGGGACTCCACTCTGCTGCGAGCCCCATGGCTGTGAGCCTGGGGACAGCGTGCCCCAAACCAGGCCTCCGAGAAACTGTCCCAGTGAGATGGCCCCAGCCTGATTCCTGCCACCCCTCGGAGTCCTCCACCGGGGCTTTGCACCCTCCAGCTCCCCCGTCCTTGGGGAACTCCCTGACGGCCAGGTCATCACCACTGGCAATGAGAAGTTCAGGTGCCCTGAGGCCCTCTTCCAGCCATCCTTCTTGGGTATAGAGTCCACTGGTATCCACAAAACTACCTTGAACTGTGATTCTGTGAACACGTGCTCCCATCCTGCCAGATCTATCTCAACAATGAAAAAAAATACACAATATAATTGGGGTGCTTCAGGGCCACACAGTGCCCAGAAAGGAGCCAGAGCCAAACTCCATGATGTGTGGCTTCTGCCCAGTTGCCCGGCTGGCAGCTCACCCTGCGCTGCATGGCTGCGAGCCACCAGAGCCACCAGCCTCACCCATCCCAGGGACAGGGACCTGTCCCTGCGCCCTCCTTCACCCACAGAGACAAACCCCGTGTGCCCCAGCCCCCCTCAAACTGGCAAACTGGTGGCAGGTGGGCTTTACGCACACAGGGCTTGGGGACTAGGGATTCCCATGGCTGTAATTTCATTCCGTAAGTGCCCAGAGAAGCTGTAAAATCTCCATCCCTGTAGATACTCCAAGTGCCACCAGCTGCCACCCTGAGAGCCCAATCTAACCCTGATACTGACTCTGAGCTTGACGCCAGCTCCACCTGCAAGGTTGGACAGACAACCTCTGAAACCTCCTCCGGCCTCCAACGCCCTCCAATTTTATTGCACTGACAACCAACTGGAAGGCAAAAGGAACTGCCCAGCAAGGCTGAACCCCCTGGTGAAGAAGAGAGAGTTTGGTGTAGAGAGAAGAAAGTGAAGCTCAGAACATGCAGGGGAAAAGGCACTGTGGGGCAGTGGGGATGTAGGGGATCTTTACACTGCTCCGGGACTGAACACTGAAAAAAGTCTTAAAGTAATAAATAGCAGAAGCTACAGTTTAGTATCCAAGGGGGAAAAATGGGATAAACACAGAGACAGGTCTTCCTGAAGGACCTTAGACACAAACACGCCCCCGATGAGAACGTGCTGGCTGGGTCAGGGACACGGAGGAGACTCTTCCCAAACATCAACCAAAGCACCGAGATTCCCGTGGCCCAGCACAGGCTGCACAACCCCCTCTCCGGAACCAGACACCTCTGCAGACCCACACAGCACAGCTCAAACTTCCTCTTTTTCAAAACCTGTATTTCTCGTGATCGTGGATATCAAGACAATCCTGCGAGCACAGACCGCAGTTTTACATGGTATTGGTTTCTAGAATTGATGCCCTGAAAGACATATCAATGCGCAAATCCACTTCAGCAGAGCACAACCTTAAAATCTAAGAAGGCCAACTGATTTGCTGCCTTTTGTAGCAGATAAAGTGCCTTTCACAGAGTTTCAAAAAACTTCCACTCACCAAGATATCAAAAGTGCCAACGGCTCCACTGAACTGTCATGGGCTCTAGTTCCCCATCACTCCTACAAGACAGCAAAGCCAGTACAAATACTGCGGCATATCAAAACCTGAAAGCACAGAGACAAAATGAAAAAGTTTGCATTTAATTGCAGAAAGGCTGGGTTTCCAGTTGCATTATTCATGTTCATATTTAATTCATTTAAAACATCCAAATTTAAATTTAAAGACAGCTGCAACAAACATTCCCACTTGCCAGAGCAAAGCTGCGCAGAACTTGACACAATTTAAGTTCAGCTTGAGTTGAGTACACGGGACCACAGCTCTGCCACACCTTTGATATGAATAAGATCACATCAACTGAGTTGATATAAACGGGTTCAGCTTTTGTAAAATGGAACTATCACACAAAGAAGGATTTAAAAGACCAGACCTGATTAGTAATAAAAAGGAGAGAGACCACAGGGGAGACATATAAAATAATGAATAGCACCAAGGGAGTGAACTGGGGACTCTAAATTATCCCTTCCACAGTGCAGTAGGGCAAATCTGTAATAATAAAAAAGAAAGTATATACCAGGGAGAAGGAAATTTTGTTTATTGGAAACTAACAGACAGGCAGGTTCCTCATGGAAGGTGTTACCGAGACAAGTAAATGAGTAACACTAAAAAAGGACAAAGACACCCGAAAGCAAAGCAGGGTTTATAACCAGATCAAAGTGTGAAAGGCCATGGGCCAAGCAAAAGCTGACCGAGCTGGGGGGTGAGGGCTGAGTCCTGTCCCCTGTCACCCCGGGTGCTGGTGGTGCTGCTGTGCGTGGGCGAGGGAAGGCTGAGCACTTGCCCCCGTGGCCGGCTGTGGCACGGTGGCATGGCCACGAGGAGACCAGTGCTGCCAGAGGTGGCTTTGTCAGCAGCCCAGTGACCCCTGGCGTGGGTCCACACGGAGATTTACACCGTCGGTGTATTTTCCTTTCCTTGTTCAAAAAATAAAGGCAGCAGAGAGGCAGCCAGGGCTGGGAAGAGCATCCCAGGGCATCCCCAGCTCCGGCAGCCACACGGCACAGCCCTCGGCACAAACATCGCCAAACTGCCTCAATCTAATTAATTTCTCCATCCCACTGCTCTTACCGCCAGGCTCTTCCAAAAGCTCATCCTTCTCATCTCTAAGGGGAAAACGATTCAATTTACCTGTGCCAGCTTGGAAGGGACCCTCAGGGTTACGGGGTACCCTGCTCTGCGCTATCTGCCCACTCAACGTTACAGCCACAACGTCAGTAAAACAAAAAAGTGAGAAAACGTGGGTGGAAGGTGCTGTCACAGCTCTCCAGCCCTCGAAAGCTGCATGTAATCTCTTTATCTACAAAGCCTCCGCTCCTTCAGAGTGCATAATTATGAAAAGAGTTAAAGCCGAGGTTTTTACTGTCTCTTCCAGGCACTTCTTTATTCTGCTAAAGGCACCACTCGCATCTGAATTATTTCCTGGGGTTGTTTGGACTTCCCATTATCCGAGGAAGATTATGGTGAGCCTCGGGAGGGAGGCCAGGGCAGTTGACAGCGCTGCTGTGTGGGACTGAAAGGGCAACTGAAGGTTTGTTGACAGCGAGCCAAGCGTCCAGCCCGGCCGGACAATGCGGTTGCCAGCAGGCAAGATGTTTTCAGAAAGAAGAGGAAGAAAACTACCAACAGCGAAGCTGAAAAATGGTTTTATTAGGTCGGATACGTACCCACAGATTAGGATCAAGGAGAAAAAAAAGAAGAAAACTCTGCGTATTGCCAGAGGAGTGTGAGAATGACGCTTCTTGGAAATCCCATGGGACAGTGACAAGAGAATTCCAATGGTTTCCCATCACGCAAAACACCTGCAGTCATTGAGTTTTTCCCCCACAAAAGCATGAGCCCCACAACCAGCCCAGCCAGGAAAAACCCCTTCAACGCAACCTCTGCTTCAACCCAGTTTGGATTCAGGGGTATCTTCCCATCAAACACTATGGATGTTTCCAATAATAAGGAGCAATCCTTTACAAATTCCCTTGGGAAAGGCGATGGCAGTTTGACAGGTTCCTGCAGCCCCAGCCCCGGGGGAGGCCCAGGGGGGGCCGGCTCCTGCTCCAGCTGTTCTGGAAGCCCAGAGGGGTCACACGGGAGCATCCAGCTCCATCCCGACGCGTTCCAGGAACCAGGCACAGAGATCTGATGAGCAGATGCTGATAACCATCTCCGCTTGCCCCTTTAATGTCTTTTTTAGCCATTTTTAATTTCTACAGTGAAGAGGCACTTTGAGGCTACTTGAGAAAGTCAAGGACCACCAGCGTGGGAACACTTCTTCCCTCTGCTGCTTTACACACCACACTTGGCTCCTCAGATCTCTGCCTGCAGACACCATAACTTTTGCTGGTCTAAACTCAGGGTTTTCCCCCTCAAAGCATGCTCTGATGGGCCAGACTGACCCCTCTTCTGGGCAGAAGCCGATGACCAGCAGAGAGGTCTCAGCACCGCCCTCAACACCAACCTCCTCGGACAAGGAGCACGAAAACGCAACGACAAACAAATGCTTACGTGGGACCTGAAAGAAACTCCAGAGCAAGGAGCTGAAGATTTTGCAGAGGCGAGTCAGAATTTATCTCGACCAACGGGTTTATTTCCTTCCACCTCCCTGTCACCATCCTCCTGGACAAGGCTGGAGTTTTGTTTCTCCTTGTCTGTGCACAGTCCTGTTTTGGCAGCTCCAAACAACGGCTGAAGCTCCAGCGCCCCTGAGAGCATCTCTCCCCGTTAGGTCTGGAGGGTCCTTACGTTCATTCTAGGGAATTTTTTCAAAGAAACTGTAACAATGAACGTTGGTATTTCCATCTGGAGTGCTGATCCCCCTGTGTGATCTGAAATATCTGATGGCTGCAAACCATTACTCCTCTTTCTACCAGAAGGATTTTGTGTCATTTCCAACATCTCTCTCTCTCTGGAACTAATTTTATCTTCCTACCATTGAAAAAGTGGGCTGATAAACTCCAGACACCACAACTGGCTCCTCAGAAACACATTCTTGTCAAAGATGTTAAGACATTGAGGTGTCTTGGAGATGTGATCATGAGCAACACACTTCCTTAGCCCCCGAGCCAAGTCTCACGGGAAAACATGTTTTAAGAGAGACAAAACCCATGCAAGCTACTTGGATAGACCATGTCTCTCCAATGAAAAGATCAACTTTATGACTTCCTTTTGAACACCTTCAGGTTGGAGGGGAGAGGAGCTAGATCGGCCTCCACTGCTCAAGGGAAAACCAGTGGTTCAGGGTGAGGGTGAAAACCAGGGACCACTGGAGGGAATCACTCACCAGCGTGAGGGAGGCTGCAGGAGTTACTGGAGGAAATGAAATAAAACCTTGCAGGATTCCCATAAAGGTTTCCTTCTCTCTCAAAATGATCCCAGTGTGAGCTTTGGCTCAAAAATAGAAACCTTTTGCCGTGTCCTGCTGCGAGCAGACCTTGCTCTCCACAGGGATTCAAGAGGTTGCAATAAAAACTACATGTTTGGCTCCAGGAACAGGAGACCTGGGCTGAGAGCAGCGGAGAGAGGAAAGGGCACAAAAAAAAACCCCAAGTGAGATAGTCTGGCTTCAGTCTGCTCCGAGGAAGCCCCTTAACATGTTCAAGCTTCTCGGTACAGGCTGTCCTACTGAGCAGCTGGAGGTGAGGCCACTGCTCCTTGTCTGCCATCTCTCTACAATGGGATAAGCACTCAGGGTCTTGAAATCCTCCTTAGAAAGACAGGGCTTGAATGCTCGAAGAAATTCACTCATTGCTGAAAGCCAGAACTGCTTTTGTTTGAAGACCGGTGTTGCTTTGCTTCTTAAAAAACCCACACACAAATAGAAAGAAAGCAGTGGAAAATCTAAAGCCTGCCCATGCAGGACAGCACGGAGTCACAGAATGGTTTGGGTTGGAAGGACCTTAAAGATCATCTAATTCCAGCTCCTGGCCATGGGCAGGGACAAACATCACGCAGAGGACCCCGTGCTGCTCCCCCTCAAGGCAACGCTGCCTTCAAGGCTTGGAGTGAAGACCATTGCCCGGGAGACAGGGAATGGCCCACCATGAAGACTGGTTCAAGGGGTGTAGACTTACACTAACCATACAGAACCCCTGGGGTTAAGGAAGCTTCATTATCCTCCAGAATGACTTCAGCAGATCCTTCCTTGCTGGTCCTGCTGCTGAACTGACTTTCAGACTTTGTGTCACCATCGTTTTTCCTTGGGTGGGCAATGCCCACACATGACATCCCAGCGTGAACGAGACCGGCAAGAGCACGGCTCACCATGAATCTTCGGAAAGAGCTTTGGGAAAAACAGGTCTGTGCTTCTGGGTGTGAAGCAGAGACATTCCGGACCCACACCACCACCGCACCCCCAGTGGAGCTCTCCCAGAAGCACTGTAACAGAAACCAGCACGGACGATGGACTTTTTGTACAACTGAGATGTCTTCTACACGTAGAAAACCAAGGGACTGATGGACATACCAAGTCTAGGAAGAACATGTAAAAAATTCCTTGCCAAAGCATCTGTGTGCTCTAGGCTGATGTTTCTGCCACTGAACCATCTGGGTTATAACTAATCGGTTATTAGTCAGCAGTCAGCAGGACTCCACAGTCAAAAGTTGAAGTTTTCTGCCTTTAGAAGAAGAATGACTTGTCTACAGCAGCAGAAGGCGTGGTGTTCCAGGGTACCCGACACCCGGAATCATGGAATTGTCAGAGTTGGAAGGGACCTCTAGAGATCACCCAGTCCAACTCCCCTTGCCCAGAGCACAAGACTCAGGAACATCCAGGAGGGGCTTGAAGATCTCCAGAGAAGGAGACTCCACACCCTCCCTGGGCAGCCTGTTCCAGGGCTCTGGCACCCTCACCATAAAGAAGTTTTTCCTCATATTTGAGTGGAACTTCCCATGGTCCAGCTTGTGCCTGTTGCCCCTCATCCTATCTCTGGAAACCACTGAAAAGAGTCAGGCTCCATCCTCCTTCAACCCACCCTTTAGGTACACCCAGCCCACGGGGGTCACCCCGAAGCAGAGGAGAACATTTACCAGTACTCTGTGCTCCTGCCCCAGGCCTAGT